TGGCCAGTGTGCAGGGGAGGGGGGAGGATGCTCCCTCCCCCGCGCCAGGTGCCCACGGGGTGCGTGTTTCACGTGCTAGCCGTCCGCTGTTGCACGTCGGTGCACGGTGCCCTGAGCCAGGCGACTGTCATCCCCTCCTTACTTCGGCGACAGACAAACTTTTCTTCGGCCGAGAGGAAGAGACTCGGAGCGATGGTGAATCCCTAGCGGCTCCCCTCGAGCTGCGCTGAGCCCAGCACACAGGCGAAGGAGCAGTCTGCAGGGCCTGGCAGTGCAGTGCGCCGTACATTTTAGGCAAAATAACAGCCTCGGGAACAATTCCCCTCTCTCCACCAATGGCTGCTTATCCCAGCATTGTTCCCCTCTGTAACTGAACCTCTCTAAGGATGGTTAAACTCAGCTTCAGCCATTCAAGTCTTTTTCCCCATAGTGTCGAGATGAAAAGTATACATTTGTCCTAATAAGATCCAGCTCGTGCGATTCTAATATGGAAGCCCATTTTCACTGCGTATAAAAGAAAATCCACTGCCTACATGAGTTTATAATATCGATTTTGTATGATACTAACCTATTGATGGTGTTAAGAGTAGGGGGTGTTATGTTTCGTTTTTCATATGGTATATAGTGATGAGTCTTTGTCAGACTACACACGGCTTGATTTTATGTAGAGAATCGGAAATATTATTTCATACACACACGCTGATGATACCTTAGGTGTCTAAGGGTGGGAGACACTATATCTTATAAATCTGAAGTTTTTATCAGGCAGACCAGATTACTTTAAGCGTTCAATTTCTCAGAGATCCAATTTTATTAGGATTTACTATCATTTGTGCTGTTCATCCCTGGGGAAATAATGCTTTGATTAATGTAATCCTGGGCTGGGATCTGCCACATGCCTCTCTCCCAGGAGTAGAGCCCTATTTGACAAACAAAAACAGAGCAGCAACTATTGCAATCTGCACTCACCTTTGGAAGGCACACAAAAAATCCACCCTTCTCGAATACAATAGCAGCATTACAAAACAATGTGAACTCTTACTAATTTACTCTGAATGCTTCCGATTCCGTGGGGGCTGTCCAGTCCAGCCCTCAATCTCTAAACAGCCCAAAGGGTGCTGCTCTGTTCCCTACAGAAAAGCAAAAGCACCTTTAGGAAGCCCAGTGCATCTCTCTATTTCTGCCTCTCCTTGCTCGCTCAACATTTCTGCCTCTTTGTTTCCCACTGCAGGCCTTGCTGCAAACTGATTTCAACTCTTCATTCAATCCACCAGCAGTCAGAGGCCTGTGTGAAGCTTTGTCATTTCATGAGGCTCAGTCATACCTACCTGAAGCCATATATACCTTTCAGACCGAAGGAATGGTAAGCAAACCACAACATAGAGCTCTAAGCAGTTCAAAAGGGAGCTAGTGGCACACCAGAAAACTGTCTTCAACAAAAGGTCTTGTAAAATAAAAAATATATATATTCCACCTTTTCTTAAACAAAAAAAAATATAGATTTAGTTTATTTTGGTTTGGGGGGGTGCTTCTCTTTCCCGAGTGGGGAGCAATGTACTCTTAAAAGCCGGATGAAATAAGCAAACCAGCATCAAAACGAAATCTGCTTTCCACTCCTTTATAACAGTAGGTGAACTGGCCTGTACTCCCCCCACATCATGAAGCACATTATGGGCAGCTGGAATTGTAGTGTCGTGTTTATCTTATTCCACCATAACAAAGCAGGTCTCCTGGTGCATGAGGAGGAGATCCAGTGACAAAGGAGGGCTCTGGCTGCGGTTTTTCCACTTTATTCAAAGTCTGGATTAATAAATCCAGGGTAGGGAGGAGGGCTCTCAAGCCTGCAGATAGGGGATGCGATTTGCACTAGGGTTTTCAATAAGATGCCAGCATCTCTCGCTCATGTTTACTCAATGACCGCATTACAATGACTCAGCATTTACGGTTTCTTCTTAGGTGTGTTTTTCCCCTCTTCTTTCCCGATGAAAAACGATGCAATTACATTTCTGCATGCTGATCTGAGTGTTCGAATAACAAGCTTTAAACGCGTTATCGGACGCTTGTTAAAGGGGGCGGGGAAGGCTGAGAGAAGAGAGGAAATTCTGCATTCATTTTAGAAAGAAATGTAAATTAAAAGCAGCTATAGGAAGAGCTCGGCTGCAACTCCATTTCCATCAATGCATCCAGGCAGATTAGGGGAAACTGGGAGTCCAAAACAAAAAAAAATAAAAAATAAAGCGCAAATCATGCCAGGGAAAAGTTACTTAGAAGAATGAATTTCTGTCTTTTAAGAGTATAAAATGATTTTCCTATTCATAATTGACTCTTTTTGGTTCGCACCTTTTCCTCCAACTGTATAAAATTGTTCTTTACATGTTAATTGTAATACGATGTTCTTTAATAAGCCTCTGTTTGTGGGCGAGTTTGTTTGATCACTTCAGCCAAACAGCTGAAGGCCCAAAACTCACCATTGCCACTATTGTTATGTTCCTTGTTTCTGAAGTTGCAGAATTGTAGTGTCGAGGATAAAAATCCGTGTAAAGGGCTCAGGGTCTCCTACTTCACAGTCCCATCAAGCAATCATTTTTTTAAGTAAGCTCGGAGGGTTGAATTTAGGAAGGGGAGATGCAAAGAAACGATTAATGATGTTAACTTTTGACTGTAGGAGTCATGATAGAGTTGAGTGAAGCTTTGGGGAAATAAATCATTTAATCCCAGAGCTACTGAAGTCCCCTTTTTCAAACATTTTGAGGTTGAAATCATATCTCTGTAAAAGCGATTGAGTGCTAAAAAGTATCAGTCAACAAGAAATACGATATATTAGGAATGGATCTAAAGTGAGCAAAAAACAACCACGCGCTCATGAAAATATCAGTTTGTGTCTCCCAAGGAAAACAACAACCGCATCAGCAAAATTGTAGCTCTTGCATTCAGTAAAGGAGAATAGACAGCATGAGCATGTTTGTGTGAAATGCCAAAAAGAGCAGCCTTAAGCTTGACCTACTGCAATCGGCACTGAGCTCCTCAGACAATAGACAAGTTCAAATGTCAAAAAATCTAATAATAAAAAACAGAGCTGCCAAACTGCACGAACTGTTTTCTGGTGTACCACAATTATTCACCCTCTTATTCACTAAGAGACTGCCAGTCCTATACGGGTAAAAGAAAATCCATGTAATGCATATGAATTTTTTAAAAAATGTAAAACACGATTGAGGTGGCCAGCAGGCAAATCAGAGTATGTCTAATAAAAAAGCCAGGCGAGGGTCTCCACAGCCTTTCAAAGACGCTAACTTGTAAATCCTTTTTTATGTTGCTATATGCACAATTATGCTTCTAAATAAAAACCCACGTATTCAAGGAGCTAGGTTGTAACTGTATATCCATAGGATTTTACGGGAGGTGGTAACATTATGCAATGTATGTACGGGGAACTCAAGTCAGCAGATAGATTACTCCATTCATTTAACAACTTTTATTACTCTACATGCTAGGTGCACCCTAAACACAATAGAGTGTATAATATCAGAAGTATGCAGTTCTAAATGTACCTATGTTTTCAAATCTAGCTCTGTGTGTATGTGTAGCACTGTGTTATTTTTCTAATTTATTACAGAATCAGAAATTCTTTATTATCCTAAACAATAAATAAGGTTCAGACTGGAACCCACAATTAAATGTATGGATAAAAGGTCAGCCTACCTATTGTGTATCTCGTTGTTGTTGTTTTAAAAGTGATGGGTCTATTTTCTTATTTTCTCCAGATTGGCTGGTGTAATATCTCTTGTTCAGCCATCAACGTGGTTATGTGAACTACAATATGGGTAAGGTTTAAAAACAGAACAAATCACATTACCCAGGAAAGCTACAAATTTGGAATCCAGTCAACTCCACCTTTTCATCTGACTGCTGTACTGTGGTATAAAGGAAAATATTTTTATATAACATACTATATATGTAGCATGCCTTTAACATTTTAATTTGTAAATGCTAACTAGGCAGTTACCCTCCACTAGTATATTATTACATATCTAATCATTCTCGAATATAAGTAGATGAATACTAAATTCAGTAAATAGCCACTTTGCATTTCCCAATATCTCGACAGTATTCTTCATTTTGCAAAGATGTCTATTCGGATAAAATATTTTTTTAAACTTCTTTGTAGCTTTAATTGTCCTGGAACTTTAGGCATAAACGTGGCGATCACATCCAAATAATATTTTTCAGAGCCAGAGTGGAAAGCAACTCTTATCAAATTAACTTGTTGCTCATTTTAAGTATGCATGTTTTCTATTTGTTTTTATGCGCTTCGAGGTATACAGACAGTAACTCATGCAAGAATAAGACTGAGGCACTGATCTACTAGAATTGTTTTCTAGAATTGTTTACTAGAGTTGCATGTGAGATAGAAAAAAAGACAAAACACAAACTGCACGAAAATGCCATGTTTGGAAATGTGGTATATTAACCATCACTGGCCTCTAAACTCTAAATCCCCTGGTCATACGTCCAAAAAGTGTTTGCTAAACATGGGTAAATCCAAGATGATGTGGTGACGCTGCTGAAGAAAATTCCATTCTAAATACCTACACGAATAGCCTGGAAAACTGTCAATGCTGACTTTGCCAGATGAAAGAAGGTGGAAAGTTTTGGTTATGTAAATATCTCACTGCATTTTTCAGCCATTTTCAGTACAGGACAAGGTTTACTGGGTTGTAAAAGTGAACACTTTGCACATAGAGAAAAAAAGAGTAATGTCTATTATTGTTTCTCTTGTTGTTTACTTCTTTCTATTATGTTTTTGACCAGAGACTTAGCTTTCTATCTCCAGAATTTAATTGTTTTTTACATTGTAAAGACAAAGAATAAAACTTGCTTGGTCACTCTGAAACCGATGAAACTCCAGTTCGAGAAAACAACCTGTCTTTACGGCCTGGCAGAGTTTGTTATGGATTTACATCAAACCTGGCCCTGCCCCAGCCCACACTCTCTGTCACTTCCAATTTTACAGGTGTTTAGCTGGTGCTAAGGGAATGTTAACTTGATCGTGTGCATATAGATGTACAGATCGATCTTCATAAGAATAAACATATGTACCTATCCATAAAAACACAGGAGTAAATTTCTAACTTATGTGTCCCATGGAGCCACCTAGAAAAATAGCTAAAAGGAATTGGCTCCTTGAGCAATATGTTAAGACTATAGACAATATGTCTGCAAAACGATAGAAAGTCTGAGCAGACTCTGAAGTAAAGCTTTTTTTTATATATGTTTGTAAATATCTACGCCTGAAACTTCTTATAGTTTTTGCATATGTTTAGTGAAGCGGACTTCAGACGATCTAACTACATTTGAGATACGGAAGTAATCGAAAGAGAATGAGTAGCTACTTTATTGGGAATATTGCAGGAACTTCTGAAGGCTTAAAATAGCAATTAAATATTAAATGATGTAAAGACCCCTATGTCTCTTTGTTATATCTGCAGCGGTTTAAAAGCTTTATTTGGAAAAAGTCTGTGTGGTACATTAGTAACCCTGAAATAATGTTTTTCTTTATTTAACTGACTTCACTTACTCGGAGGCTACTTGGCACCAAATTAACAATCTTTAGGATGGCTTGATAACGATTAGTCGAACTGTAAAGTCCAATGTAGATGTTTGCATTTTTATCTTACGGTGTAACGGCTGTTTGGACTTTAAATCTGCTGTATTTAGGATATGAATTTGCTCTATTCTTTTTATCCACCCTACCAGTTCACTATTCTGATGTCACAATTTATATAACTATATAAAATATCATAGACATGTAGTTTTGAGTGGGCATTTGTTCCTCTGACAACTTTGGAGGAACAGAATTGTTCAATGTAGCAGCGTTTTACTCACCAAGTTCTCACCAGCCGCGTCAGTGCGCCCCCTGCTGACCATCAGTGCGCTCACTGAGCACTTCAAAAGTTTATTTTGTTCAGCAAAGCGTATCATATAAAATTAACGACAACCAATAAAATTATCTTATATGTTTCAACTGTAAAAGTCCAAAACATAATAAAGCTAGTTTTAGTGAGGCTAGAAACTCTGGTCTGGCTTCGTTCTCTTTGGCTGAACTAGGGTCCTTTTATCTAAAGCCCAGTGCACAAACATATAGCTTAATGTGACTAGTGTTCTTCCCTTTATTTCTTTCTCTATGGCAACCAATATGTTCTGCTCAGAAATGTTCCCCCATCAAGGAAACAAATGATCTTGAGGGAGCAGCTCTATACGGCATCTGTTCCAATGGAGAACACAGAGTTAACCCCAGTCAAAAGAGACGCTGTGCCCGTCAACAAGAAGTGGAAAATGAGCGATTCTTCTCCCCCAAAATTGAAACCTACACCTCCCTACTTTTACAAGTCATTTTGTTGATTTGAGTATCGACCGTTTCCAAAGAAGTAACCAATTCTAGGAAATTATAATGATCCCGAGCTGTTGAGTATGCAAAAGAGCGGAAGAATGCAAACAAAATAAAATTAAAATTACACTTAAAATTAAAATTAAAAGAAATGAACGTGATGTAATGGATATTTAAGCCTGGGTAAAGTTTTCAGTAGCAATATCTGGCCTAGTAATTTCAGCTTGCATTATTTATCACATATTTATCACACGGACCTCAAGGCTGTAAAAGAGTTTCAGATCATTAGACTATACCTCTCAATTAGGTAGGAATTCAGGGAAAGTGGATCTAGGGACAAGGAAAACTGTCAGAAATGAGAAACAAAGTGAAATCTGGTTTGTAATGCTCAAGCCACAATCTCCTTTGAGAATAAAATGAAGGGATGTCCTGGTTAGTTTTGATTGATTATACTCTTTCTGATGGACTTTCACTACAGAGCTCTAGATGTTGTGCTTAACCGTCTGTTCCCTAGTTACAATATTAACCCTATGAGTGCACTATCGCTCTTCTCCTCCTCCTCCTCTTCATCTTCCTCCCCCAGCCCCAGACTGATTTATTTCATTCCCCAGCTCTCAGCAGGTGTCCACTTCTCTACTTTTTCCTTACCCTACTCTTTCTGATGGACTTTCACTACAGAGCTCTAGATGTTGTGCTTAACCGTCTGTTCCCTAGTTACAATATTAACCCTATGAGTGCACTATCGCTCTTCTCCTCCTCCTCCTCTTCATCTTCCTCCCCCAGCCCCAGACTGATTTATTTCATTCCCCAGCTCTCAGCAGGTGTCCACTTCTCTACTTTTTCCTTACCCCTAAGCATACTACTGCTGTTCAAAGCTGATGTGCTCCAGTCAGCGGAAGAGATTC